TAAGCCACCTTTCCCTATGAGACATGCACAGGAGAACTACTTGGATTGTAATGAAGATGTACAAAATATTTACTCTCTCCTCCACCAGCTTTTCAAATAAGTTTCATCAACCTTTAGAAAAAAGAAAAGAAAAAAAAAAGTACCTGTGCCCTTGTTGTTTCTCAGCCCTTTTGAATTCTGCCTAATGAAAATCAAATAATGTGAACAGTCACCACCAGAAGAGTGACCTCATTTGAGCTCTTGCTCAGTGGACACTAAGGCCTGAGGAATTTTGTGTCATTTCATCAGCATTAAAATATCGACCCCATCTCAGTGAAAGCGGAACTCCTGTTTACTTTGTTTTGCTTTCTGCCAGCAAAAGATGCCATTCGACACACTGCATAAAACAGCACACAACCCATCCAGATACCTATCCTGTGGCAAAAAAAGTGGAGCAGACTCCAACCCTGACTTGCTGATGGCTCCCAGCACTTGTTATCTTGCTGCATGGCTCACTTTGGGGCTGCTCCCTCTATCCAGCCCCGAAACTGCCCCAGGCGCAGTTCAGGGTTCAGGGATTTGTTCAAGGACTGTTCCCAAAGCCACTGAGCCATTGAGCTTAGGTCCTCCCAAGCCAGCTTGGCTACCTTGGGCGTCTCCCAGGACAGGGATCTCAGATCCTCCACGGTGTGCTAGAAAAATGCCCCTTTCTTATGCCAATCACTTTATTTCAGATACAGGAAAATGAAAGAACAAAAACCATGAATTCATGTCCTGGGGGCACCGCTTGTTTTCGTAGAGCCTGTTGGCTGGTTTTCCTTTAAGTAAAACCCTGTGGGACTGATTCACTTTGCAGCCGATTGCGTGTTTTTTCATGCTATAACATTTCTTGTTACAGTGCCACAGCCACATTCATCCCCAGTGGTTGTCCCTTAAAGGGTCATGTTTTCCTCATGTCCTAGTAGAAGGGCAGTGCAAGAGGCAGAGGCAGCAGTGGGTCTTTATATGACACATGGATAGATGTAACTGGCTTGTGCTTGCTTGGTGGCGTGTTTCACAGCCAGGTGCCTCCTCACAGAATAATCCTCATATGGAATCATGATGCAAATTTTTCTTATCCTGAAATTCAGCAAAACCCATTTCCTGATTGAACGAACGTGTCGGTGTCTTGCAGTGAGAGCTCTCTTGTGGACCAGAGATGTAAGCAGGAAGGAAGCTGCTTTGGATTCAATTTAATTTCCCAGGGTTATATATTTCCCAGGTTATATATTTTAGAGAGAGCAAGCGCAAAGAAAGAAAGAAAAAAAACAAAAAACAAAAAAAAACCAGAAGTCTAAATTCCTTTCTCGTTTATGATGGGGTAAATCTACAGTTATTCTGCTGATACCAGACTTGTCTTCCTCAAGTAAAGCAAGGTTGTTGGAGGCTGAACCTTATACAGGAAAGAAAACCAGGTGCTTTTAAAGAGAAAAACCTGCTTCACACTCGTCATCCCTGCTCTTCCTTTTTCCAGCCTTTCTTTGGGCTCAGTTCTTCTCTGAATTGCCTTGTAAAGTCAGTGCAGCAGGAGCCCAGGCTGATCAGAGCCTAAAAGCAGAACTTCTCCTTTATCCCTTCCCCTTCTCCTTTAAGCAGACACTCCAAACCCAAAGCTTCATTTTATTAGGAATGAGTAATACGGTTTAAACAATTAATAAAAACTGGTCTGCTGGGAGAAAAAAAAATTTTGCAAAGAAATCCCCCACTGCACCCTGTGTCCAGGTAGGTCGTGCCTTTCTTTCCAGGGCCACATTTTAGTCCAGCAAATTTTAGTTGCTTCCTGGGACTTGGTTGCTGCTGTCGCCAGTTCACAGTAACACAGGTGGTGCAAGAACTTGATGCTGAAGGTGATGCTTGAATTCACAGTCCTGTAATGGAGAACAGAGTTGGGCCCATGGAGATCTTGAAGAGGCTCTGTCCAAGTGTGACTCTCCCACCCCAGCTCTGCTTTCATTTTTTCCCTGGTTGGATCCTTCTGCTCTTGCAGAAGGATTTTTCACGGCACGCATTGTGGAGACACATCCGTCCATGTGTTCCCCAGCTGGGATTTTGCTCGCAGGGAGGGAGGCTCTCTGCTCTTCTCCTTCCCAAGCCCCAGTGCTTTGGTCAGGTGAGTGAGCAGAGGTTGTGCTCCCTTCAGAGCCCTCTGAGCCCCACAGAGCCCACAGCACCATGGGTTCCAGCCTCCAACCAGCTCCATGAGGTCGTATTTTCTCCAAATGTGCTAGATTTGTGCCTTTCACCACTTCTGTCAGAGGCAGTTTAAGGCACTTTCATTTTTGCCAGGTGGGAATTGAATGTATAACTTTCTTAGCAATTTTATTTCTCTTGGATATGAGTTTATCTAATAACAACTTCCTTTTTGAGAAATCATCAGGTGATCTCAGCCTGCAAATAACTGTCTGCATGTGAGTGGACACCCCTGTGGATAGTTTCAGCACAGAGGTGCCCATAGCAGAGAGGTCTTCATTCAGCATAACCCAACCTGTAATTTTAGCAGGAGAATTCTGTCACCCAAATCAATGGCAAAACCTGCATGTCCACTTGCTCCTGCTCTTCTTCATGTGTCCCACCCTGAGCACGACCTAAATCCCAAGATGCTGAGGCAGCGCCCTGTACAGCATGTATTCTGTCATCCGCTAAAAACGGAGGGAATTGAGGAATTGCACAAGTCCAACGAGAGCTGCCCCTTGCTCCGGTGCTCCTTGGGCCCTGATTTGTGTGAGTGTCTGGTCCTTCCCAGCTAAAAAGTAATCTGTGACACCTAAACATCGCTACTTTATTGTAATGGTTTTTCCTTTGTGTTTTCTTTCCCAGTTGCAACAGGTTTGTACACTGCAAAATAACTCAGAATGCATATATATGTAAATATTTTACCTATTGGTAAGTTGTAATATACACATTTTAGGCTGTATTTCTGCTTGCCTTGGGTGCTGTTGTGAGGCTGAGTCTGTGAATGTGATGAGCAGGGTTTCATCCTGTCACAAGTGGAAGGCCAAGAACAACAGAAATGGTGTTTAAAGGGGTTACAACCCCAGGTATTCTGCTGCTGGCTCCTTCCAAGCGACCCCTTCCTTGTTTGATCTCCCTGGAGTGCCCTGCTTTGTTGCTGCTTTCCATCCGGAAACGAAAGAGTAAATGAAAACCCTTATAATTTGGGATGGTATTAAAAAAAAAAAAGCAACACACACACACAGAGCAAATAAAGATATTTTAATTGCACGGGATTTCTGAATAAGGTTTCAAAGTGGGGAAAAAAAATAACTATGTGCCTGGTACACAGAGAGCCCTTTCTCTTCCCCTTTGTGGCAGAGGAATCAATGGAATTCATATAAAAGGCGGAGGGGGTGGGAAGAGAGATAGGAGATGCCTTGCTTCGTACCAGCAGCTCACGAGCCTAATGAGGCTTGAGCAGCGTCGGGAGGAGGCTGCTGACCCCATCTCCATGTGTACCTTTTTGTTCCTCGCCTTGGATTTGCTGGCTGGTGGCATGCTGCTTTGCCTGGCTCTCCATAGAGCCTGCAGCCTACAGGAATTTGGACAGAGTGGTACAGACATCGCCGACAGAGACTCTGGTCACTGAGCACCCCTTTAAATGCGGCCTCATGACTTAGTCGTTCCTCCATTACCTATTAAAGAAGGGGACCAGACGTACATAGGCAGCTTCAATGCAGACACCCAGAAGGAGCCAGAAAGGCAGGACAATTTAACAGAGCTAACTGTGAGTAAATGCGAGGCATTAGAGGTGTTCTCTGGAGCAAAGGGCATGGAGAAAGATTTGTAGGAAATCCTGAAGGGAAAGAAGGTGCTGTATTTTTTTTTAATATACTTGCATTCTGCAAAATTCTGTAAAAAGAGCTCTTCTGTCCTTTCAGCATTTTTCCTTTACATACAAATCTATGTCTCTCTTAATATAACATAGACCAAGCCATGATTTCCCATAAAAATCTGAAGCAAGGATTTTATGTAGTAAGCGTGGGTGCCTTTTGGGAACGCCACCGGGATATATTTCATACAGGAGAATCAGAGAAGCTGGATTTTTCAGTCAGTTTTTGCAAAATTAGCACCCCTCGACAGCCTGGAGCTTCTGCTGACTGTGCAGCCCACGGGGTGACCCTCCTCTTGGGGGGCTGGTGGTGGCACCTCTTCTGGTGGGGCCAGAAGGGAGCTGGGCACCTCGGAGGGGACATGGATTTCACTGGGGTGTCCTCAAGGCTTTCAAAGATGGTCACTGTGCTTCAATGCACTGTAATGATCAACCACCCTGTAGCAGGAGAACGCCCTGGAAAAAGCAGGTCCTTGCTAGCTGACGGAGTTATCAGTAGGTCCCTACACTTTACTTTTTGTAACGACAGCTACTGGAGAGCTCTGGACAGGTATTGCACTGGTAATCACTGCGACTGCAAGTGGTAGTGAAATGCTGACATGAAGAGAAAGTTCCTTGGTCACCCTGTCACGCTGCTTTTCTGAACATCTCTATTATAATTGCAGCTATGGTCACCTGGAGGACGCAGCTCTTTGGCTTGCCTCCATGCTGCCCGTTTTCCTCACGGCGTCCATCCTGTCCGCCTGGTGCTTAACCGAGAGCACCTGCCTCTCCCACGATGACCTGAAGGAGCTCAAGACCGAATTTGCCATCAGCCTCTACCAGCACCTGGCCCGAGCGGAGAACGGGAGCAGCCTGGTGCTGTCGTCTTTCCCTGGAGCTGCTGCAGTTGGGAGCCCAAGGAAACACTTTTGCGGAGCTGCGCGATGCCCTGGGATACAGCATTCACGGTAAGGCACTGTTCAATGAATGCTTTTGGTACTGATTGCCTTGCACTATGCAGCCAATGGCTGCTGCATACACCCTGCTGATCTTCTGTCCTGTTACGGGCAGTGCAAGGGGTCATTCAAGACTGTTTTCTCCATATTTGCTAGCTAGGTATCAGCTGGACGGTGGAAACCCTTTCAGTAGCTTAAATGTACATATTCCTCTTCCAGTGCTTACTCTCACTGCACCAAAATGCAGCTCCATCCACAGCTTCTGTTTTCGTGGGGTTTCATGGTCTCCTCCTGGCCTTTCCCAGCTGCCCCCTGATGCCACCAACCTTCCCCCCTTCAGCGCAGTCGACTCCCCTCCTGTGCCCTGACAAACTGTATGAAACCTGGAGAAAGCGAGTAATTCTGAAGACTCTACCTCTTTTAAAAATATTATTACAATTGACCAACAAGGCAATAAGTTATTAGGAGGGGACATGTATAGACAGATGGTACAATTGCTTCTTTTCCTGAAAACAGACTAAAATAAATCTGGAAGGAATACAAAAAAGGCAGATATCTTGATATCCAGCATTAATGTAGCTTAATTGAAGGATACTATCTTTAACTGTGGATTATCCCACCATTTCATACAATGTATCAATTTTACCATTTTACATTATGGACCTAAAGTTTATGAAAACCAAAAGACTGCCTCATCTTCAAAATTTGCAGCTGGTATACACCACTATTTCTCAGCATAAAAATTATTTTCGTCATACAAAGACTAAAGAGAAAATCCACAGCAATTTCACTATCTGTGCTGTAACCTGCCGTAGTCCTTATTTCCATTCTCCGTATCATTCATTGTCAAAACCAGCACAATATTTGTCCTGGCTGATACACGGATACTGCTGCCTGCACAGGCACAAGGACAGGGCAGCTGTATTATGAACAGCCAATATAATGAAGTCTTGCTTATAAGACTGTAAGTTTCTGTAAGGTCATTTTAAACAACATTCATTCATACTAGGGTTATACCTTGCTAATTGCCTCACTTCTCATCAAGTACAGGCTCAGTTATTAGAAAGAACCTTAACAAGAATATTGCACAGTGAAATTTGGTGAGGAGGTTCTTAACAGCCTGCCAACTCTTTGGCTTGGTGTCTTACTTCTTTTCCTAGGCACATAATATCATAGACACATTTTCTCATCATTTTAGTTGTGTATGCCACAAGCCACCAGTTTCTGAATTTCAGGTACGTTAATGTGTGAATGGGACATAACGTAGGATGGGATCTACTGCTTTGGGTTGTAACGGCATATTTCCCTGTGATGCCTCCATCCTGGGGGAAACCACTTCTTCAACAGCACATTTAAAACCAAGTAAACAAATCAAATAATTTCCTATCAGACCAGAAAAGCCATATATTAATGTGCATACCTGATAATATTTTGTTCACATTAATGGTTTTCCTGATCTGTCTTCAACAATAATGAAGGACGTAATAAAAAACTTTGCAGACTGAAAACAAGGAAAACATTGATGGTTCAGTCACCATTCAGGGAGAACCAGCTCTTGTGTGTACTTGTAATCCTTTTTTAACATGTGGAAGATTTGTTCACCTCCCTTCTAGTACTGAGGAAAACAATCTATAAAGAGATGTCTCCCTAAAAAGCACAGATAAAATGAAATACTTTAGAATGTTCTCTCCTTGCTGTTTTATTTTATCTGCAGGGGAATATTTTAAAGCAATTTTGAACTGTTCTCTGAGTAGGAATTCAGGACTTTGGTTAGCTAAGGGCTTTGATACTGCTGAAGTTATAAGCACAGGGTGCTGCACCTCCCATTAACATCTGCTTCCATTTACCATCTTCGGTTTCTTACATCCTCAGAAGAACTTGCCAAATGCCAGCGCACTAATGCAAAACACACAAGAAAAGCACTTTACACCTCAAACTGTGTGAATTTTACTAACATCTGTTGAAGGAGTCCAGTGTTTTATTCCTTAAAGAGTAATAGGTTTAAATTTTAATACCAAACTTCATACAGGCCTTCCCAGGTTATTGAAGGGACACTATTAGGTTAGAAAACATGCCCTGGATTCTCAGGTGGTAGCAAACGGTATACATTAAATTCCTCCTCTACCCCACACAGCCAAGGTCTCTCTGGAGTCATAAACAAGATTTCCAGCTGGGATCATGTCGGCAAGCCCCAAATTGCTGCTTAGGTGGAGCTGGATACCCAGGAGCTGCTCAGGATGACCCAGGGTTTCATGGTGAAGCAGAGAAACACGTGAGCCGAGAAGGGCACCTTGGAGAAAGGAGAGGTGGAATATTGGCCTCCTTGGACATAGTGGCTGACAGTCGTTATCCAGCAGTGAATTGCTGAGATTTCTCACAGGAATTGGGACATTCAGCTGGCTCCTTGTCCACCTGGAAAACCAGGGAGACCCTTGGTGGTGCCAAGAGGCACTGACTTCTTCACCGAAGAACAGTCCTCCAAACTTTTCCCAGTCATAACCCTGAGACAGGAGTTGCTACAGGCATTTTGGCACATAGATCTAGAATTTATAATGATCCCTGCAAACTGCAGGAATATGTGAAATAAATAAGATGCAGTTCAATAATGACAAGTGAAAAGCTGTACATCTGTCAGAACAAATCACCTACTCGAGTTGGGAGAAAAGGGAGTAAAGAGCAGGTTTTCGGAAAAGGACCTTAGAGGAGGTCTTTGGAATTAAAAAAAAAGAAAATAAAAAAAATAAGAATTGAATGTTTCCATACAATTGTGCCTCAGAAATAGTAGTCGGTTTTGGTTTGTACAATAGTTGCTTGTAACTCACATGAAATCACCTATCAATCAGGTCTAGTTATCCCCAGTTTGAGGCACCATCCTTCAAGAAAGAAAGCACAGAAGTGGGGTCTTGAGGAGCAGAGACAGCCCTGGGGTGCTCAGAGAGATGCATTCTTGGAATGGGTGGAATTGATCATGGCAAGAAAAGGGGTCAGCAGGACTGAACTCCTGGGCACTAAGCTCTCCATGACCACAGGAACCAGATCTCCACTAAGGGTAATCCAGAGGGCCCAAAAGAAAATAACATTCCTTATGAAACAAGAGCTGTGTTCACGCAGAGCAGGGAGACAGGCTGGAGTGTGGAGGCAGCCACATGGCATATTGCAGGACAGTGATTTCTGCAGCAACATGAAGAGTGCTTTGGCACGTCCAGTGCATCACTCACAGTGCTGCAGCAGCAGCACTTCATAAAGTGAAGGCTGCTTCAGCTTTTATGTTGCTTTAATTTCCAGAGGCCCCCTGCGTCAGCGCTGGGGCTGAGAGCCGCCGAGCCCTAACGCGATCTCTGCTCTTCCTCTCCTCAACGTGATGCTCTGGAGCTCTCGCCCCGCTTCGCCGCGCGCGCCGCGCGCTGGGCCAACGGCAGCCTCCAGCAGGCCAACTTCAGCGACCCCGGCGCCGCCGCGGCCCGCGTACGGCACTGGATGAGCTCCAGCACCGGAGGTAACGTGACAGGGACTGCGCGGGGTGAAAACGTGAAACAAGGGGAGCTAGAGAACGTGCTTCCAACCAGCATAATGTTTCGGCCACATTTGCAATCTTGTATGTACCAAGACTAGGAGCCCCAAAATCCAATTTCAGTGCTGATGTTCATTTCTAATGACAAGAAAAGAACGTGGGCTGTGTCTGTATCTGTCAATATAAGTGTGCTTAACCTGGCCTCATTTCTCTAATATTTTAAACAATAATCCTTTGCCATGGTTTGAGTTTTAATAAGGAGCAGCCAGGGTCCCCAGAGACCAAGTCTGCTGCTTTGGGCATTTCTCTGCTGCTGTGGGACTCAGGCTCTGAAGTCACACTGGAAAATAAAAATAATTTACTTTCTACACACACAAGAGAAATAATGAAACTAAATTGAATGCTAATGAAAAAGAAATTAAAAAAGAAAGTCCTTAAAATCAACAGAGAAAATTAATCCTAGATTTGCCCTATTGATAAAAAGTTATATGACTATTACTTGGCCATCAACATGTTTAAAACTAGTGTGATGTTAAACATACACACATTAAAATTGTTATTGAAAAAAAAAATCTGTCAATCTGTCCTTCTCAAATGAACTTTAATAAGGGGTATGATTTTATGGGAGAAAAGTATTCTACTAGGTGTTTCTAATATAGAAACGGGAGTTCATAATCTGGTAGTTACATGAATACTGATGAATTTAGAGTGGCTCGCGCTTCCAAAAAGCTCTGGGAAACCCCAGGCAGGATCAGTTAAACTGCCAATTAAATAAGGACTAGGGTAATTAGGATCTCAGCTTCATCTGATATAGTCACTTCATAAAGTCATCTTTAATCACGAATGAATTTTGTGAGGGATTTCTGCAGCTAAAGGTTAAACAGTAAAAAATACACATTGACAATTTTAAGCTAATTTGGTATTAGTAAACAGATGTGGGGCCAGGGCATGGTGTGGAGCAACGTCCAGCTGCCATCTGTGCTGTTCAATTGTTTGTTAGCACCATCCTGGGGTGACTTTGGCCCACGGTATCTCCTAACACGACTTAGCTCTGACGAGCCGGTGGGCCAACAGGCTCTAGGGCCACGTTCAGGTGTGGTGAGGATGGCCTAGCTGTGTGAATGCAAACTGAACCCTGCCTTACTTACTAGTACAGACCGGGCTTTATGTCTGGCTATACAGTATTAAGTGCACCTCCTCATCTCTTCTCTGTGCAGATGGAAACGTCCCCAGCATGTCCTTGGATACGGCTCCATCACCACTCAATCAGGTCCTTGTGGTGAGCACCATGTACTTCAAAAGCACGTGGCAAAAGAAATTTTCCTTCATGGACACCCAGATCTTGCCTTTTACTACAGCGGAGGGCTCAACCCTGGGAGTGCCTACAATGCATCACACAGCTGAAGTTAACTACGGTAACTATCCTTGCCCTTAGAAGGGCTTTATGTACTGACTTTCCATGACCACTGTAGTGAGATGCAGTCTTTTCCCAGCTTGAAATAAAGAAATCCCATAAAATGAAAGAGACCATCTGGGGAACTGAATTGATTCCCTACAACTAGAGGTGATCATGAAATATGTTAGGTTCAAAATAGTTCCTAGAACAGCCACTGTCCATGCCCATTCCTCCCAGCTACATATAACGACCAAAGACCACCAGTGTCCCATGCCACAAGAAGGGAGCAGGAGAGCCCGAGGGTGCCATTGTACACAAAGTCCCTTGCAACTGGAGGGACCCTGTTAAACAAAGCTCCCAAAGGACCCTAAGGATCACATCTGGCCCAATAACAAAGGGGCAGTTAGAAACTAAAACAAGATGAAGCCTCTACCAAATTCAACTTGTGGGGCTAAAGAAGTATAAATATAGGGCAAATAAGTTATCACGTATGCTCCTTACAAAAACTTGGGACACATGGTTTGCTCACCCAAAGACAAGTTTATTTACTTCAGGCTTAATTTCTTACCATTGGAAGTTCTTCCACTTAGTTCTGCAATACCCTTAAAATTATACCAATTTCCTTAACTTTCTACCTTATCTAAGAACATTACTGGGTGGAAACCTGTCTAATTTCAAGAGCAATTTATAGCTGTTGATATTGTGCCATCTTTATTGTTTAAACTAAATAGTTTATTTTCAGTTTCAATATTTACTCCCAAATGTACTCATCAGTCAGCAAGATAACTCTCAATTTTCTACTGGCTAAGCTGAAGGTGCCAGGCTCTTTTAATTTCTTTTTACAAAAGAGCTATTCCAGTCCTCTCCTAGCTCTTTTCTGCATTTTATCCAATTTAAACTAATCTTTCTTCAAGATAAGTGACCAAAAGTATATATAATACTTTTAATGAGGTCAAATGCATATGCTACAATACTTTCATACTTCCATGGCCTTGCTAAAAATACCTTGTTTAGAGCATCAGTGAGTCACATCAGCATGGGTACCCACCATGGTCTGTTTTGCTCTACAACTTCATTGTTCTTCCTTGATGAAAGTCTTCTTCAGTATTGTAAAAACTTTGGGAAACCATTGCTGACCTCTTTTCAGCCAGAGAGCTTCATTCATAACACAGCTCAAGTTCTCAAGCGGTTGATCCCTACCTTTTATTCCTTCCAGTAGCCACCATCCGAGGTGTAATTTGTGTTCTGGCAAAACTGTGTCTAATGCTTAAGACTTGTCGTCCTGATTTATCCGTGTATCCAAGGTTATCCAGTCAAAAAACGATAACAGATTTGGCCTATCTGATGCTCCAATTTATCTCACTTTCTATCTCCTCCTGTGATTTAATTATTCTTTCCACTAGAGCGTGTTTTAAATTTTTTCAAACAAAGACTTAAAATTTCCCAGATCTCTTTCTTTTTCTTTGCAGACATGGTCTTTTTCCCAAGCATGGGACACAACCTTGTAATCCATGGAGTTATTAATCTTTGTTACCACACTTGCAAATTCGCATCCATGTTATTTTAGTGGTCTGGGATGGTGGTTACTCAGGTCCCAGATTGTTATTTGTCAGTGAGACAGTAGGAAGGTGTTTTACATTTATTTTATTTTATTTTATTTTATTTTATTTTATTTTATTTTATTTTATTTTATTTTGTTTTATTTTATTTTATTTTACTCAGTGCTCAGCATCACCATACTTTTATGCTTTTTTTCTCTTATTGTTTATAAGGCTAAAACCTTTTTATCTCTGTGCAATAGTCACATCAAGCAGTTAGCCACATTTCTGTACTTCTTAATCTCTGAATTCTAATTCTTCTAAGGAACCACTTTGTCCTCTTTTTGCAAGTTGGTCCTTAGGGTCACACCTCTGTCCATGGTGTTGAGTCCTTCTGGAAGCCTCTCCTATGTCCTGCAGCTTCTTCCTTCTGCTCATGCCCAAGTTCCTGAGCACGTTACCATCTCCAACTTAGAGTCTAATTCCCCTTCCTCTTGTACATCCAAATCTTTTGGAAGTTAATTGACTTCACTGAGGAGCACATTTTGCCTTCCTCATACCCTAAACCTTATCATCTGTATTTTCAGGCAACATAAAGTCCTACAGCAGCTCACAGTGACTCAGGCCCAGGTGATTTTGTGCTACCAGCTCCCTGCAAGGTCTCCGCTGCTCATGAAATCTGGAACAGGGTCACCCTTCATTGCTTCACTAGCTATTTGATTAAGCAAAGAAACCAACAGGCTTTGGGATGAGCATGTACTGATCAGCTTGGAAACAAACCTTGCCCCTGAGCCTGACCAGGTGGACAACACCTGGCTTACCTGAAAAGCATGCATGTCTGCCTTAGAGCTACCACAGCTGGGTGGAGGTGTAATATTTTGGATGGCCTATGATGATGTCAATGATAAATCACTTGCTTACAACTTCCACTTTGACTCTTTGCCCGCTAACTATTGCTGAGCGTTCTTGAGATGCCATTTACTGGATTAACGGAAGATAAAATAGGAAAGGAGGATTGTGGTAATTGAATCTGTTTTCTTGTATTACAGCATCCTTTTGAAATGACTGGATTAATTCTTCTTTGAAATAAGGAATCTCTTTTAAAAGGCGGTGTTTTTAAATATTTGCTGCAAGCTACTCTGTAACTATTTACAAGTCTGGGAGCCCAACAGCTTTTATGACCTTCATCTGATTCTGATAGGTTTTAGGCCTGGATTTTCAAAATCAAGAAATTTGTTGCTTAAATAAATATGAACCTAAGTGAGTTTATAATAAGTTTAATGCCGATTTTTGTGTGTGTGTGTGTGAAATAGGACTAAAACTGTTTTCTGAAGAGTAGCAAAGACAGAAACATGTGGCAAAGTAGTTTCCAGCTAATCAAATAGCACACTTCCTTTTCTCCTTTTATTTTTGCAACTTCTTTCACTAGTGAATTTTTAGAGAAAGGCGATAGATGGAACCACTGAGAAAATTGCCATTTAATGCAGGGAACAAGAACAGCAAGGCCAGTCCAAGAGGAGGCTCCAAACTGGGAGGGCCATGTCTAGGTGAGACAGTTGCCAGGTACGCGGGCACCCTTGGGATAGAGTTTCGGATATGGTTATCACAGTCACGGACACCCTTCTGATGAGATATGTACATATTGAAAGGACTGAGCGCGTTTTGATGAGAGGCTGCAGCTCCGTGCATCATGGCTGGCACACGGGAAGCCCCTTGTGTCCCACCAGCGGTGTCCTGGAGCACCTGCCTGCTCCATGCGGGATGCACTCACCGGCCAGGTGAGGTAAGGATGCAACTTGCCCTCCCGCAGGCCAGTTCCAGACGGCGTCGCTGGAGGCGCTCAGCGTGCTGGAGCTGCCCTACGTCGGGGAGGAAATCAGCATGTTCGTGCTGCTTCCCGGCCACAAAAGCACCTCGCTGTCCCGCCTCGAGTCGCAGCTCTCTGCCAAAGCCGTAGCGCTCTGGGCTAGCAGCCTCAAGAGGATGAAAATGGACGTGTTCCTGCCTCGGTAAGCGGTTTGGCTGCTTCGGGAGGGCTTTGCTGCTTTCTGCAGAGTTATGTATGACGGGATTAGGTCTGATAGCAAAACCAAACGAGATGCTGCCCATTTTGCTCTTCTGACCACGCCAGAAGAAGAGCTGCTCTAATCACCATTTAAGCCACCAAGGGATGAGCTGGGAGGGCTCACACTTACCGGCATGTCATGGGCTGTCTGAAGGAAGAAAGGAGTCGGAGCTGATTTTGCAACTCTTAAAATTTCTTGGAGGTAATAGAGATCCTTTAGTGACCTCAGAAGAAAGAAATATTCTTGTCCCTTTCCTATACCAAATTCTTCTCTTTGTTTAAGGAAGAGTAAATATACAAAACTTAAAACAAATGAATAAATAAACAAATTAATTAATTGCTTGTACATTAAAGAATATATGAAGAGGAGGATCCAGAAGCCCCCACCCATGGCACCCGTCTCCCTACGCACAAGTTGGGGCTGCCTGTCTTACACGTTGGTTGCTTCTAGGGAAGGCACATTCAGGCAAACACCAAGGTCGTGCGTCAAGAAGACCTAGAGGCAGCCCCATTTTAGTAGATGGAAGTGGAGATTTCTGTCTGCTTATGTCTTCACATCAAGATGAGATGCTCTTCCGGAAAGAACATTTTAATCAGATGGAAAGCAGTTGGCTCCTGAAGCAATAAGTGTATGAAATGAGACATCTTGAAATAAATGGTGTCCTTTCCACCTTTTAGTTCTATGAAACTCCGAGTCCTGCATTTAAATAACATCTCTCATGCTCATTTCAGATTCAGTATCCAAAGCAATTTTGACCTGAAGATAGCTTTTTCTGCCTTGGGAATTACAGACATATTTGATCCCATCAAAGCTGATTTTAGAGGTATTTCAGGTAAGAGACTTTACTGAATATGTGATCATTGGCTGAACAGCTGTGGACTCTCAGATCAGATCTGGAGATTCAGCAGACTGCTCAGTGCCCTGTGGCCCCTGAATTGATCGTGCTTTTGGCTCTGTGAAGCTCTAACATCGAATTCCTGTTCAGCTGTTTGCCTTTATTATTCGTATTTTTATGTCAAGCAATTTTTCTGTGGGACAGCAGAATCTGCTAGAGCAGGGTTGCTTTTATTTATTTACTATTTTCTTTCAAGATCAAATCTGTCAAAACAGCACAAACCTTCTGTGGGACAGCAGAATCTGCTAGAGTAGGGTTGCTTTATTTACTATTTTCTTTCAAGATTAAATCTGTCAAAACAGCACAAACGTGGCAAGCAGTTATTTATTTAAAGCTCGATGACGCCTTGGTACAATCTGCAGTCCTAACATTATTTTTAAGTGGTCATGGGGGTGAGCACACGAGCTTTCCAGCTGCTTCTCCGAGCTGCCTGCACAGGAGGTCACACAGGCCCAAGAACCAGGCCGTCGCCTTATCTCAGCCGTGCTGAGATGAAAAACACCCTCAATATCCAGGAGCTCGGAGGTTCGGGATGCCTGCACTCATCCTGGAAAAGCAGGCGCGGAGCCAGAACTGTAGCTCAGGATCTGCTGACAGGGGAGGCAGGTGCAGGAAAGCACCATGAGGTGGATTCACACAGTGCCCCCTGTCTGCCTGAGCTCTATAAGTGCTGGAGCAGCCTGTGGAAGGACTTGGTGAGAGAAGAAGAGCTGACGTGTGTGACACGCTCTGTATTCAGCAACAGTTCACGTATACTAAGGTGCAGAGCACATACTTATTGTTGCTGCAACACAGTCCTTGAAAGCTAAACATTGTCTAGAATTTTATCCCTTTCAAAAACCTTTAAGCATTTGTGAGCAGCTAAATCTTGAGAATGATATTTTAGAAATTGTAAGAGGAGCTGCAAAATTTTAATAACCAGTAACTGCAGTTTTGTTCCCCCCCCTTTTTTTTAAGAAAATAGCAGCAACCAGAATCACGCCCCTATTGACCAGTCAAACAGCATTAGATGATGATGCTTGTAGATACCATCACTCCCATTAAAGGCAAAAGGGTCAGAATCCTTTGGACTGGTTAATCTCAAGGGCAACTTTGTTTCAGTCATTAAATAATAGCTTGGATTAAATGATTAAGTTAAATAGCTGAGATGAAGTGTCTGACAGTTTTGTGAACTTCAGTTTTTGCACAAAAGAAATGGTTAAAATATTTTGATAAAGTAGGTGTTAGCAATAGGAGTCAGATATTTGTCAGTATTGTCTTTTCTCACTTTTTTTTGGTCAGAGCAAGGCAGTCTTTATGTCTCAGAAGCTATTCACAAAGCAAAGATTGAAGTGGCAGAAGATGGCACGAAGGCATCAGGAGCCACAGGTAAATCAAACAAACCTCCCTTCTCACTTCCAAAGCTTGTCACTAGTGAAACAGTACTAAATTCTTGGTATGTAGCAGCTGCTCAAAGCTCAAGGTATGAAACCTTGGAGCTTGAGACCATGGTACAGAAAATAGAAAGAAAATGGATATGTTTTCCCACCGTTTTCTTCGTTGCATTGCAGCAATGGTGTTACTGAAAAGATCGCGAACGCCTGTTTTCAAAGCAGACCGGCCTTTTACTTTCTTCCTGAGGCAAGCTAACACAGGTATGCAAGCTTCCAAACTCAGCAGCAGAACCATTCTGCTGAACTCAGATAAAAGTTCCTCCTAAATAATGTGCAGTTGTTCAGTCCAGGAAATGGCAGCATCATCTGCAGACTGTGGCTTTAATGCATAACCCACATAATAAAGTTTATTATTACTTTTTTTTTTTAAAGATGGCATGAGGAACTTCAAATTCAGGGAGGTTAAATCAGCAGCTTCCTATGTACATGCAGTATGCATGAAAAGATTTCCATCATAGTTGTAGGCACCATAGACATCTTTCTGAAAACCATAAATGCCCTCTGATCTGAAACAGGCCTCTACAAGCAATTTGGTACCCAGACTGGTACACTTGGGTTATCATCAGAAAAGTGAAAATCTGGATCTTCTCCTCTACGTGAAACCTGTTCTTTTTCGGAGACACAGCAACCAGGCTTCTGACTATAGGCACCAGGACTCCCAGGCCTAAAATTCACCGTATCGATACCTGTCTCAACAGTCTTTGGGGAGAGTCTTTGGGGAGTCATTTTGGAGATCACCAACCCTTTATTTAGCTGCAACTCGAAAAACAGAAACATGCTGGTAAATCGAGGGATTTTATAAAATACGCAGGGTGCAAATATAGTGCATTTATATTTTATAGAGAAACATTTTAAAACCCAGCACCTCTGGGGGAATAGTTTTATCCAGGTCTTTGTGGCTTGGCATCCTCACACGACACACAGGCCATCGCATTGTGTGTAGCTCGGAAACTCCTTACCTGAGCCCTGGAAAGAGCCTAACCGGCATCTCGACTTCTGCGGGAGCTGCGAGGAAACGTGAGTTTCTTTTGCAAGTGAAACTCTCATTTTTTTGCTACCAAACTCGCCTGGCCCTTAGAACCAAAAGCGAGCAGAGCAGGCCTGAAAATCGGAAGGATCTTGGCCTCAGTATTACGCCAAAATCTCGTTTCAGTTGTGCAACCGCAAACTACTGCAGACTCCCTGGCAAAACAAAGCAGTCTCCAGCTTGTGGGCCCCAATAACCAGGGATTACACTGGGAATCACCCAGCAGGGATCCACTCCTCCGAGGCGCCACTCTGGTTCGTAGAAACGCACATCTGCACCCTCCGTATTTCTCTGAAATCCCTCAAATCACCAGGTTTCTCTCAGATCTGGCATCATTTCTGCTTGGCTTTTAAGGATACATATAAGCATGTACTGGGTTTGGCAAAGCACTCTTTAGGGCCTGGCAAGGACGCTGAAAGGAATCATCATCCTCATCTCCTCTCAGCTACACAGTTTTGTCCTCTTAGTTGCTGAATAGCTGCATATGTAACACTCTGCTTTAGACGGAAAATCCCGTTCTGACCAAAATACAGGGACATCTTCTTAGAGAAAGCTTTCAGTATGTGATGAATTAGATAAAAGGGAAGGAAATCACACTACAAAACAGCATTTATACGAAACAAAATACATACTTTGCAATTAATGCCATGGAAATATGTATTACTATATTTCTATAGCAAGCTTTTTAATGCAAAATGTAAAAACTGAAAATATTCAAGGTTAAGTTTATTTAGACCTGGGGAATTAAGTTCTTCATGTGTGAAAGGGAAAAGGATCAACGTGCTTTTATTTCAATTGACTTTACTACCCTGATTAGAGATCCTTAAAACTTGCTAGCCCCATAAAGATCATCATGAATCTCGATACAGAGTGAAACCCAAGTCTGGGCTGGGCTTCCAACTGTTTGGCCAAGGCCTTTTCTTTCTACAAGGAAATGCTCAAGCTGTCCCAGGCAAGCAGGCAATGGGCCTGCTCAGAGCAGATTTCTTCCACCCACACAGTGAATGATTGTCCATGCTCGGTCCATGCTTAAGTATCTAAACTGCATTACACACTTGGAAAACTTGGTCTTAAACATTTAAATAGTTTTAATAATTTGTTTTAATTCACAGGTTCAGTACTCTTTATAGGAAGAGTTACAAATCCTTCACAATAAGTGCCAGATAACGCCCTGTCCCTCTTGTGGTGAGCTTTCCTTCAGTGAAACTAAAGCCTGCACCGTGTATTTATTAAAACAATGTTTAAAACATCACTTTTGCAAGAAAATATTACTGAGCGAGTCCTCCACCACTGCACTCTTTGTATATGCTATGGGAAACTTATTTTACAGCTGTACACGAAGCATTAGAGTCACAACTATAGCAAAGACCTACGAACAGCCACAGAAAACCTCAGATTTTGGCACCTGATGTTTAAGAGCAGGGGCCACAGCTTCTGCCTGGTTCCCTTCTCGTGCCTGCTGAAGGCAGCCTGACTGCTGTTGAGCACATGGGACACCCGGGGGAACACGAGCCACAACAAACCTTTGCAATATATGCCGTTTTCCAAGCATAAAAGCCCAAGACTGAGTAAAATCTGCAGTCTCGTCCCCGGACCTTGCTTTATGTATCATTAAACTGAGGCAGCAACGTAGCCACGGAGCAGCCCAGGGCCCTCGGAGGAAACTGATCCTGCTCGGGGGTGTTTTTTTTAAGTTAGCAACATGCAGCATGAACCTTCCTAAGGAAGGCAGGACAGGCTAAAAGTATCTACTCTTTTTGCTTGCTTGCTGTTTTTTTTAAAGCATCCTGGGATAGAGCGAGTGTTTTAGAACAAGAGCCAACAACTCACGGCACAATTTGGGGCGAAGGCTGCAAATCACTGACCCTTGAGCACCTCACGGGGAGCTGCTCCCATGGGTCAGAGCTTCCAGGTGCCAGCAGCCTCCGGCACAGAGGGAACACGTGGCCAGGAAGGATTCCATGATATTCCTTGTCCCAGAGACAGCATCTTCTGGGTGTTGCTGCACTTGTAAATGGGTAAAAACTGCAACACTGAAAAGAAAAATTCCCTGCATCACTCCTCAAAGGCGACTGCCCCATTCTACTACATTTGATTTCCCCAAACTGATGTTTGCTGTGGATGTGTATGCAGCCCATCCCTTTCCCGTGCTGTTCACCTCACTGTGAGGCACAAGGGACACAGGACTATGGATTATCATCCCCTCTTAGCCAGGATTCACCATTAGCTTCTTTTCACTAGTTCACAGATGTAACATCATGGGAAATTCTGTTCAGAACTGCTCCCTCTTTCCTTAACACCAACAGTGAAGCACTGATGTTCTGGGGAGAGAAGGCAGAACAAACCATTCCTATAAAAAACATGCTCAGTCCTACACAAAGATTAAAATAGAGCTTTTATTGATGGAATAACAAAAGTGCTTTTCTTAAATATTTTTTCAAAATACATTTATACAACTTGCAATAATATATCCAAAATAACTGTATATACAAAACATTACCTTGTTTAATGTATGTGCTTTTTTTTTTTTTTTGAAAATTACAAAGCAACTTTTTTTTTTGGCAAATTTCAACCTTAGAGGTGATAGTTTAGAAGGTTGGATTAAGAAAATAGAACCTGAGGGAAAGTGACACTTAAGTCAATGACAAGCAAGAAATTCTCCATTTAGTTAAATAAAAACATTTTAGTGATATTTTTTCACATTACAAAAATAACAGAAGTGAAGGAAAAAAAAAAGAAAAAGATGATGGATACTTTTCTCGTCATATTATAGAGCAGCTTTTCATTCTTTTGGATATGGGATTTGAGATAAGAGTGCATGTCAAAAATGAATGCAAGTAAGGACAGCAGGGCCCTGCTGTGCACAGAGTCTTTTAGCTGCTATTGATATGGTTGACCTGATTGGACCTGCGATGGATTTCTTCCAGGAAACTCTCCAGCTGCTCTATCAGCATTCGTTTCTTAAACCTGTGTTTAAAAGCAAGCATAATAATGAGAGCACACTGTAATACGTGCAGCATTACTCACAAACCGTTTTCCAAGTCTGCAGACTTTGGTTGTTATTGCAGACCCAGTGCCTGGCGCCCTGGTAAGCTACCGCCTTGCTCCAGTGAGGGAACACAGAGCTCGGGTCCCTGCCCACAGCCCTGGCACCGTGCTGAACATCACCCAGCTTTGCAAGGCCAGGGAAGCAGAGCTGACTGCTTGGGGTACTCACAAGCAAAGCTCTGAGGCAGAGAACTAAGGCTGACACGGGAAGTATGGCGCCCTAAAGCTGGCGACAGCTCTGGGGATTATTTGCCTGCCTTCATGGTGCAGTCACAGAACTAGGTGAGGCTGGTGCTGATGGAAGGGCAGCCCTTACACAGGGAAGGGTAGATTTGCTAACAAGCAAACTCCAAAGAAAAGTTTGAGAGAGAGATTAAATGGAACCGCAACCGACACTGGAGTCTGCAGCTCGGCGGAATGGCTTCCCGGGGAGCTTTGGCTGCTCTGGGCACACTCGCTCACCTTGGCAATCCAGTTCTGTTCTGAGCTGCACAGCGAGTCAGTCCTGTGGCCCTATTAACCCCTGACAGACTTCAGGTCTCAGCCAGGCCTCCTGGTTCACGGGAACGTTGGCCCCGATTCCCAGCCTTTCCCGCAGATGCCAGCAGGGCTGTGGGGAACCCTCCCCTGCGATCCCACTGAACACCCGGGCTCCGGGCCCGCGTCTCTCCTCCACACAACTCCCTCCCCAGGAACAACAAGAACCCCCTGCTCCCAGGGCTGCTTCCCTCCCATTCTCCCTCCTCATTCTCACAACTGCTCCCTGCTTGTCACAAAGAGGGATAACGATGAAATAGGTAGTACAGTTTAAAAGGACACATTTCCTACCAATTTTTTTCCCAGGCAACACGTTACCAAAGCCATCTGTGGCAATCACACACTGGAACATGATGGGTTCCAAGCAGCTCCGAGGAAGGAGACTCCACAACCTCCCATCACAACAAGCAAGTTTTGCCTTATGCTCACAACAGAATTTCTTGTGCTTTGGTTTGTGCCCATCGCCTCTCACCCTGACAATGGATATCCCTGAGAAGAGTCTGGCTCCGTCTGCTTTGGTCCCTGCCCGCTCATGTATTTGTGCCCAGCGATAAGATCCCCCTGGAGCCTCCTCTTCTCCAGCAGCTCCAGCTCTCTCAGCCTCTCCTTGTAAAGCAGATGCTCCAATCCCTTAATCAGCTTAAATGTCCTTTGCTGGAGTCTTTCCAGCAAGGAAGAGGGAGCCCAGACCCAGTCACAGTGCGCCAGGTGAGACCAGCAAGGTACCGGCACGCTCGGCTTCCTGGGGAAGGGTCTTTCCGTAGTTAGGAACAGCCATTGACTGTCACTACCTTCCAGGGAAGCATCACTTAGCAGAACATCACAACAGGGAAATGTTTTGCATTCTATTAACAGTTCTGTTTAGGTTTTTGACCTCAAAGCCACAGGAATCATTTTCCTCCTGACCAGAAATCTCTTTCTTTTGCCAACCAGCTGCACTTTGAAGGTGACCATGAGTAGGGCAGACCAGGCCGTGTGACTAACTACTCCTAGGATTTCCTTGGAGGGGAGGAAGGGGAGTGTACAGTAATAACGTGTTTATTTTATTAAACATTACAGTTTGTACCTAATGTTGATCTTAGCTCACATCCATTCCATGATTCTAGAAAAAATAATACAATTGTCATAGACAATACCTGGAAGATGACAGTGATATGTAAAGATCAGGAACCCACATACTAGGCAACACACAGAGCTTTCAGACCTTGCTTCCCACAAGCAATTTTTTTTTTGGAAGAGAAAATAAGGATGACCAGATCACTAAATCCTGTCTCCTCATCAACATTCATCTCAACACCAAAACACCAGAAGCCAGAGGTCACTCTAGATAACTGAACACTGCTTGTCAAGTGAGACCTTCGTTTACTTTCAGAAAACGAAGCCTTGGCCATGGGGCATCAGTACCTGCTCCTTAGCTCACGAGTCCCGTCTGGACTAGAAGAACTAGAGGGAAGACCAATCCCCACAATCCTCTCACTTAACATTACTGCAATGTAGCAGTTACAAGGAGACCTTACCTGCTTTACAGTCAGGTTCTGTAGTTATAGGGCCACTTAACCCCTAGTTTTGTGTCAGCTGCTCAGAGGCAGAGACCATCTCACCAGTTTCGTGAGCAACACGGCTCCGTATGCTCTTATTAAGGGATTGGCATTGGTAAAAGCTTGCTGACCCGGGTGGACTCTGGTCTTATGCTCAAACAGAAACAGAAGTATCAAGGCAAACTGAAGGGACATGCACTGAGACACTGTCTTGCAGTTTTCCCAGTTCTAGAAAATGTAATTTTATCTGATGAATGCAAGTATCTTAACAAATACTAGTCTCACTTAAAAAAAAAATTGAACCTATTCAACAGTTCAATACCTATTTCACATGGAAACATTCAAAATCAATCTGTAAATTATGTTAAAGTTAATGTAGCACCAGTAAAGTATTCATCTTGAAAGTTTTTGCCAGTTTGAGAAGCTTAAGAGAGGAAATAAGTAGTAGCGAGACTCATAGAGGCTATTTACTCTAGCAACTAATTAATTAACTAGCAGCATTAACAGGCAATTAACAGAATTAAGCATTGACTCCCAATAATTTATCTGTTCACTTTGCTAGGAAAACTACCACACCAGTTGCAAAACTCCTAGGTACTGAGCACAACATTTTTATTTTGAAATCAACTTCTTTTTCCGCACTACTTTTATCACAAATCAACACTTCCTAGTGTGTCTTTGCTAGGCTCTGCTATATATATTAATAGCTTAAAACTCGTTGAAGACTTCTAAATAAAATGAATAAAATTCCCTTTTATAGAAAAGGGAACTGAATTTCTCATCCCAAGAATTTGTGGTTTTGGAGAATTTTGATTAGTTTTTAATTCTTGTTGGCTTTTGCTCTAGACTATTTTACAGAGAAAAAAAAGAAAAAAACTTATTCTTAGCACTAGGGCCTCTAATGGATTGCTACACTGATGACAGAAAAACTGAAAATCTCTCCATAAACTTATTCTTAGCACTAGGGCCTCTAGCGGATTGCTACACTGACAGAAAAACTGAAAATCTCTCCACTACATAGTGTAATATATTTTCATCCTTTCTTAAGTAACTTGTCATCTCATGTATCCAAACATACAGCCATCTATTCATAATTCATGACCCCTGTGTGCAGCAGGGACTTGTTATAATCACTAATAAGACTCAGGCTGTGGCACTGAGTGTAGGAAAATTCTTCACTAGAATAAAAACAGGTGAGAATTTCAGCACGGTATCTCTTCATACTTACTATTTTCAGCATTGATTACAAACAAATTTCATTATTTGCCCCATCCTGGTGTCTACCTTTAAAAGGCTTCTTTTGCTATAAGTCTCTACAATCTCTTTTGAAAGACACAACATCAAGAGTCTTTGGCTGCATTGCAGAAGAAAGAAGAGCTACAGGGCAGTCAGCTCCCATAGGAAGCTGAACATTTTGGATTCTTGACCCTTGAGGAGCCTGCAGAGGTTTCCGCCTGCACCTCAGGTAAATCACACAGTTTGCCTGGGCAAAGGCAGAACCAAAACCCCCACATGAGGACTGCAGACAACATTATCCAGGTGGATAAAATGATCACACTACGGAAATGTTATCCAAGGAGGAGACCAAGTTGTGCCTGCATGCAAACCAATGCAGGAACCAAAAAATGAAGTTAAACAACTGTCAAGAGAAAGAGAACTACCAACTCTTTCTACCAATAGATGCAGAAAACTGTTGGCTGGTGCTTGAAACAAGATTTAATTCTGATGCATCCAATAGCAACGTGCAACTGCTGCCAACTTTTGTAGGGGAAGAGAGACCAGCTTGAATGAATGGGATAGAGACTGTGCAACAGAAATGAGAATTACAAAAGATCTGAAGAACCTGATTTTAAGGCACAAATATTCCCAAGCCCACTAAGAGCAGCCACAGGCTCCAAGAACAACGTAACTAAGTGTGGTTTTGGTGTACTGAGCTGGTGAGGAAACTTGTATGTTCTAGAGGCTATGGAACAACTCTGACAAGTGGAATGATAATAAAGACAGACCTAGGAAAAGCATGAGAAGTAATTGCAGCTCTAGGGCAGCAAGATCCACATACATATATGTACTACTGCCAGCACACTGGAACACAAGGGCTAGAGGAGCTGTACGAACAGCCCACGTTCACTGAACCTTGCTGAATCTCAGCATGATTTTGTCCAAAAAGAGTTTACTACAAAATATGGATAAGAGCAAAAAAAAAAAAAAAAAAACACCATCATTCACTGAAACATCCCTCAACCATAGTTAAAGGTATACTTACTGTCAGGACAATAGCTTAAAATTATTAGTTTTTCAGTGCACTTTAAATACTCTTGGTTCCAAGCATAATGACATGTTTTTCCTTCCTTCCTTCTGAGTGAACATGCAGTAGATTAAGCAAGTATGGTCAGTCTACAAAGATGCTGCAAGGACAAGTTTCTATCTAGATTAACACCACTATTTTTAAATTCTCAGCAAGCCTCTTTTCTCCAGTGATCTAAACAACCTCCTCTCCGAGGCTGTGGAAATAGGACTACGATATTTCTGAAGGAAATAAATCTGAAAGGCAGAGACATGTCCTCACGGAGCATACCTGGATCTCAAGAGTATTCAGGGCAAGATTGTGAGTTGATAACAAAATAACAAATTTCAACATTTTCTGAAGATCTAATTCATAGTAACATTGAGTGTCTTCAGTTTTTCAAATTAGCAGTACACTCCGATTGGAATTTCAGAAATTAAGTGATTTTCTAACGCGTTAACCTTCCCTTTATATAGCACTGTCTCTTCCTATATTTATGCTGGCTTGGCAGTTACAGCTGCTAACGTATTTAAGACAATAGATATTGAAAACAAGAGGCAAAACGGTGAGCTTGTGCAAAATAGTATACATTTTTCTTTCCTAGGAAAATATTTACTTTCAATGCAAAGCATCACGTGAGAAGTTTCAAACAAAATTGCATGGCTGTCCAGCAGTTATGCATAGAAGTACATGGTACTATTTTTCAAGATTAACACAATTCAGCCACTTACCTCGAAGCTTCTTTAATAACATTTTGTAAAAATATCAGTCTGGTTTGCAAGCTTCCTTGTACGTGCTTCAGTAAAAAGAAGATTCTTTCATACTCTTAAATAGACAAGAACAAAAACACAGTTATTTAAGAGGTGCCTATGCAGATACCCGTTGTAAAACTTCGTGAAATACAACAGTTTTTGTGGAGCTTTTCTAAGTTTTTAGGACATATCACTTATCAAGCAGACTTGTAACAACCACATACTGTTTCATCGATATTAATGCAAAAAAAAAAAAAAGACAAAAAACAAAAACACAAAAAAGCAAAAAAGCACACCCAAAAAGCAAAATACTGGAGATCAGAATATTATTGGAACACCTAATCTACTAATTCTAGTACAATATAATGCATGACTTTCATGAACACTGAGAGAGGCAGTAATGCACATCCAAGAAGTTTTGAGAAGAGGTTTTATAACCCAGCTTTTAAGCTTTACATTTAATTTGCCTCAGACAAATACCAACACATGAGACTAAAATAGCAATCTATTCCAAATTCTTTGTCTAGCTCCCATGGCAGTTATCTGAAAAAAAGTGACTTGATATACTTACTCCTTCCTGGCTTTCGGATCTCTTTCATAATTTGTGCTTTTAGCTCTATATTAATCTCTCTGGAACTTCTGCAATGCACTGCTTTTTTTCCTTTGCTGGGTGAAGACATTGCCAAGTTCTCTTCAGTACTTTGTTCTTTATTACCTGATTCCTCATGATTTTCCAAAAACCCTTCAGTATTCAAGTTATTCCCTAAATGTTCGTGGCCTACATCCTCTGCAGGAGCTGTAGGACGATCCAATGAATTGAATGGAGAAGAGGATGCTGAGAACTCCGAATCCACAGTATTTGGGAAAACATCTGATGAAAGTGGGTGTGTAACATGATTCTCAACCACATCATCCATTGCAATCTCATTATTAGCTTCTGATGCTGCAAAACAAAATTTACACATGCAAGCCTCACATTTTAACATCTGACAGAGGTCATAAGCCAGTTCAGCATTGATTAAATTCTTGCAAATCTATGATCCAGCTTGGATTGTCTCCCAGACGTGCCAGGCAAAAGAAAATATGTTTGTGGGCCACAACATAGAGCATACTGGTACATCTAGGGGTAATTAATGACTTAAAAAAACCACGAGCATGTTCTCCATAGAAAAAGGAAAATGGCTACACAAATTACGAACAAGAAAAACCCACCTGTATAAGGTTTTTATGATATTTGTCTTTCCCCAATACAGTGAGCTAACAAAAGCTTATTTTAGCACCAAACATACATACAAACAAAAAAACCCTGTTACCCCACACCTCAATTCCACAACAATACGCAGTGAGATACAAGTTAAATATTTCTTGGGTATTTGGATTCATATGCAAAGGAAGAACATTACTGACTGCTTATAATGTCTCCTCCTTTAACACAAGAAATAATTGTTTATCCTTGATAAACTATTGCTATCCTGTCACACGAGACTTCTGTTTGAAAGACTACATATTTATCAGTCACTAATTCTCTTGCAATTTGTCCTGGAACGTTCAGTTAAATACTCATTTTCAGAAGGGAGTGCTAAAATAGTCACATCTGGGAAATGAGCTCGTGGCTTAGTTTCCTCACAGGTATTTGTACGTAAAAAATGTTGTTTGTATAAAATAAAAGCTACAGAAGATTCACTTACTTTTGTGAATTGGAATAGGCTTAACAAGGTCTGGCTGTGCTTGTGTAACGGGTGTGGGCGGCCCTTTTCCTCCAATATGGTTATTCACAACCGGGGGGGTTTGCGGCCGCCCTCGGAGCAGCGGGGACATGCAGCGACGTCTTTTAGGAATCCCTTGCATATTTGGTTCCCCAGGCCTTTTATGTTTATTTTGAGGTCCTGATACAAACTCATCTGCTTCATCTATCATCATTCCCTGTAAACAATTTCATGGGGAGAGTATACTTGAATTTTAGACCAAAAACATTCAACATAAAACACAGTCAGTGTTTTGAGGATATGGTATTTATCATATATAAAGCAATTAAGTACAAGGTGCCATCATGTGCTGACTTCTCAAATGTCAAAGTAACATCGGAAAACTATCTAATCCTTCCCAAAATAATGTGCCAAAGGCCATTCCCCAAGAGTCTTCCAAGTAAGGCAGTTGAGTGTGACTATCAAACTTCCTTTTTAAAAAATTGCAGTATGACTTAAATATTTTAAAGAGCTTTAAACAATACTGACTATTCAGTCAAACTCAAGTCAAATATTTGGAAAAAAGGGAAGTCCATATGTTACATCATACACTCAAATTTAAGACAAGCTTTTTTTTAGTAAAGTTTGCTAAACTCTTAGACATTAGCTCTAGCACAGTGACAAATGTATTTGATTTATAAGACAGAGAGGCATAATTTGGACAGGTTTCAAAAAGTCTGACTCATTGTGATAATTCTCATCCTAAAACCACCTGAGGATTTTTTTTTTTTTTTTTGCACAGTATAACTGTGGAACAGTATAACTTTCCAAACACTTGGAAATCTTTCTCCTACATATTGCCCTTTGCATGGCCTAATTCTCGGCAAAACCACACAGCAGCATTAAAAAAAAGAAAAAAAGAAAAGTCACCTTTTTGTCCAGTTTGAATGGATTGCCAAACGTATGGAGCCTTCGGGGTTGATCGGGATCAAGCTCTCGGAGGGGAGATGGGATTTGTTTTAGATATTCCTGGTAGTTCCCCATTTGTGCAATAGGTACACTGTGAACTTGATCTATCATAACAAAAAGGGTTTATTAATTTATAACACTGCTCATCTTATGGGAATTTAGTTTAAATCACTCATATCTCCAGTTTTCAGTCTTGACTTTCATCCAATGCATTAATGAAACAGCCGTGCAAAACCTACTTGTTCTTGACTAACTGGTATTTATAACACATTTTCAGTGCAGAAAACTTGTTTAAATGAACCAGCAAAGTCTTGTGTATTTATCATCCTGACGTGGAAATACACAATGGTTCTTATGTGTGAATTTTAGTTTCCCACAGCTTTTCCACAGGACATATAAGTTTAAAAAAAAAAAAAAAAGAGACAGGGAATGAGTTTTACCTAGAATTATTACTACAAGCAAAAGCTACAAAATTATGTAAGGTAGTAAATTCATGCTGAATACAACTTTGATATGAGGTTACCTGCTTTTAGCCACCCAAAACTTCTGATAATTAAAAGACTAGCATTTTCCTACAGCAACAGTGATTTTGTACTACTGGAATTGCCAAATCCTCAACCTGATCCTGAACATTTTATGACTTAACAAAATGTTAAAGCTGACACTCCTTTTATCAAGCTGAACTTATGCTGAGGATAAAAAATATATGTATATTCCTGACAGAATACAATCTCTTCCCCAAACATTAACTTCTGTACATTACAAATGACATTATTCCTGCCACTACTTAAATCAGATTAACACCTACGATCAAGGGATAATGTAAAAAATACACTTCCTCCTGTACTGCCCTTCCCCATTTTCTTCAGTTACTTCATCATCTTCCACATGTTAGATGTCATAATGTAGTGCCAGAAGCCACAGCAGAAAGGGAAAGGAATCAGTGCAGCAACCAAACCATTCACTCTTGGCCTAATGACCCAAACAATCCCCCTGGGAGTGCCCACACACCAAGGTTGCTTCGTCACTGCCCCACACACTCATTAAATGGACAGAGGTCTTAATGTTCAGAAATGCCCTGTGATTTTTCTCTAGACACATCATGAAAGTTGGGAAAAAGAGGGAAAAAAAAAAGAATCTTAAGCCCAAAACTTCTCAGATGGACTAGAGGACAAATCAGTAAATTGGTATCTACTCTACCCTCCCTTGTTTTTCTTCCAATAAAATTACTTAAAAAAAAGATCTAAAAGCACATGAAGTTCACACCACCAGACCTCCACTAAATTATTAAGAACCAAGTCACTTGTTAAAGGCTTCTCCTTAAGTAGAGCAACCCAGTGGTAGTACTATCTACAAGATGGCTGGCAAAAAATAGATGGTTATCTAACCTTCATCTTGTCCTTTGAGGAACTTGCGAGTACTCTTCAGTAAATTAGATCTCATTCGTGTTAACTGATCCAAAAGATTTCTTCTGGGTATGTCATAAGCATTTCTAAAAGTCTGAGGTTTCAAATCCTATGGTTTCAGTAAATAAAGCATCAATTAATACCACATAAGAAATAATATCTAGCATTTCAATGGAAGTATATTGAAAATAACAACATTACACACAGTGGTGCTTACCTTATTCAGCAAAGCTATTTGGAACCCAGCATACTCCTTCATATTGAGGTCTAGAGGTCTATGAGGAATTTCCCCAGTAATCCCCTGTAGCAGATGTTGAAAATCGTTCCTATGTGCCATAGACAGGTTGTGTGATCTGCTTCTGACCTTAATTCCAGTCTCTTGCGCTACCTTTTTGCCTACAGAGCCAATGACTCTATCGGACTCTATTTTGGCCTTAATTTGAAATAAATAAATAAATAAAATTGACAATATGCTCTTAAAAGGATTAGTCAGACTTATTCATTTTAAATTCCTACCTAGAAGATTCAACAATGCGCTAATACACTATGAAGACTATAACCTGGATGAGTGCTTAAGGAGTGCTTAATACATAACCGCTTAATGTTTACTACAATTTTAAATAAAGTGAACAGTTTGTGCCCAGGTCTTCTGCATATTTCTCCTCTGCTGCCCATTATGGTATCTAAGCACCAATATGCATGCAATGCTTTTATTTTCATAAAAATGCCATAATTTGACTAGTAATTCTCTGCAAATCTGTCTGTACTCACATAAACTGTTTTCTAACATACAGCTACATACTATGAAAATTCTCAAAAGACTGATTCTCCCTCAGCTATAGCTGTGATCAGTCAACATAATGAAATCTACTTTTAAAAAGCTCGATACAGATAGCTACAAGATTTAAAAAATTGTAAATACACGATAATACCTGATTCTGTTTGGTAAAACAGTCCTAAATCCCAACTTTCTACCTGTCAAATTTGTACCAAAATTAAACATGTTCATAATGTCGAATTTCGGGCAGAATACAGTTGAACAAATATTTGAAAGTAATTTGGTAACACATAAGCCAATGTTTGTTTTGTAGCTTTACACAAGTTTACATACTCACAATTTGAATATACCTGTATTTTCAGTATACTGATTTGAATATATCTGTATTTTCACTATACTGAAAGTCAATTCGTAGAGTTTTTCAAAAAGTAGAAAAGCTTTAAGCATAATATTTTAGATGCTATTGCAGTATATGTCATTATGTTTTAGGAGTCTAAAATTATAGCTTGAAAGTTTGGTTCATTTAGCAGTATACTGAACAATGTGACTTCATGATTTGACCTAATGTATTGTAGACTTTTACGAGTTTGTTCCTTCCCTCAAATAACAATTTATATTAATGCTTTAAGAAAAAACTAGTCCATAAGAACTTGTTGGCCAAGTTATAAGTATTTGCTTTGCTATCTCTTGAAGTTTCAAGTCTTGAACAAGCTTAACGTGCACTGTTCAATAAAATAAAACTAGAGTGGAGGTAGCAGGGCAGAAATGTCTTAGCTAGTGCAGGAGACTAGTCAAATATGGACATTATTTCTTAACATGACCAAAAATCCGCATAGCTTTCAAAAAGTTACTTGCTACTTCTATGTCTTTATCTTCATTTAAATCTGATCTATATAATTTGCTTTGTATTTACCAAACCACTTTCAATTTAATTACACAAGCCAAGAAAAGAATACTTTCTGGTTCAGATGCACAAAACTAAAAATTCCTATTTTTTTGAGAAATGCAAGAACATATTTAAATAAGACAACATGTTTTCTTTTGGACAAAAGTATATTACTGACTATACATGTAAAAATGCTCCTTAAACACAAGAAACCTTAATTTGCAGCTCCATACATATCTTTATAGACCAGGCTATAAAAGTCTATATTTAAATGTCAAGTTTTTCTTTCTTCAGTTCAGAAAACAAAAATGCTTTCCTGTTAATCACTCATAGGAATGCACTAACTTGATCTTTCTGCTCTTTTTCCTTCAAAACCATTGGGCTTGGGCATTTTAAGATTATCCTGATATTAGAATAAGTTTTTACTGCTCTTTTGCTTCAACATTACCTGCTGACTCAACTTTTTGAGATATGAAATGACACTGTAACTAAGTCCATATTCCACATTGTCAGCTATAAGGTTTGGTGCTCCCATCATTCTCACAGCTTTCTTCAAAGGCTGAAACATGGAATATATCGTATAGTCATATTTAACTTTACAAGTCTTATAAACATACTTTAACTTATGTATCTCTCAAATAGAATCTGAAGTCCTTAAACATAGGAAAGCAGAACGAAAGGCCTGGGGGCTAAAGTTCTTCGCTTTGTTGTTTTTAAGCATTATTTCATTCCTACACAGCCAATTAGCAACAGAATTATCATTTATGTAGTAGTTACACAGCTGATTACTTTTTTCACCACAGCACCCCAGTATAAACAAACATCTTTATGCATGAAAGTTTAGTGATTCACTCTTAGATAAACACTCATTCCACGTTAAAAAAGACAGAGCACCTCTATAGAAGAAAGATAATTACAGCTACATAAGAAAAAAGAATTGAACACAGTAAGTCACCTTACCCCAAGATAATAAGGGGGCATCGTCTTCAAATAGCTTTCAAATGACTGCCGCCATTTTAATGTTGGCTTTGCCTTGTGCACTTTGAACAAGTCATCTGACAGTTATTTAGAAAAAAGAGAGAAATACAATAAAGATATAGCTCCAGACAAGTGTATTTTTTCCTTCTTTCTTTTTACTAAGGAATCTTTTAAAGAAGTTTAACATACATACAAATAATCATAAATATGCACGAGATTAATGCTGGCCCCCAAAAGGAGGAACTGAATAAAGTATTTACCAAACTGAATCAGTAATCTGACATAAGAGATCAGGAAAAGTGGTTAATGAAATAGCAAAAGAAATGAACCCACAATAGACACAAAAGAACGATGATGGAGCAGATCATTCTTGCAGGTTTAGTGAGATTCACAACAGTCTGTCAATAGGTGACGAGAGAAGCAGGAATTCTGATAAGATAAATAATGCTCACCATCCTAGCTCTCTACAGGTACATGATTAACAGCAGTAGCATTAATTTCAGAGTAATCTATTTGGATTGATTTTTCAACTGCCTACCACTTAGTATAATTTCAAGAAAGGGCTATTTACCTAGCAATGGAAGGAGGACTGGATAATTGTAAGGCATCACAAACAAATTCACACAATTCAGCGCTGTACTAGCTTTCAAGTAACCAAAGGGATGGCCAAGTTCACTGTATTTTGCACTATTGCTCACATATACCTGCAAAAAAACCACATCACAACGGACACAGATACAAAACACCTTACGTTAGAATTTCAAATCCTATTCTGAATGCAGACTAAAATGTTTGAAAAACAGCATTTTCTAAATAACTTCAAGTCTGTCCACATTCTACTTGCCTGCCAGCAGGTCTGTGGGGATTTTCTTTCCAGGATAAACTGGGTCAGCGGAGAAGGTTCTAATTCGTATTTATCAAAAGGCAGTTTGTCAATGACCATTGGTTCACAATCTGTGCAGGAGAATTTCACCACGGGATGAGAGGTGCGGGGTGGCTAAACACAAACAGTCCAGCGTTAGGGAGCTTGCTCATTGATTAAAATTTAATTGAACTATGACACCTGAAATAATAGAGGTTCTTTGGAAGCAGCCTTATTTAAGGAGCCTAGTCAATGTAGAATACATATTTGTTGTTAATAAGCCCTGACAGCTAATTTATGAAATAAGCACAGGCTTAAAATC